CAGAGTCTCACTCTGTCGCCTAAGCTGGAGTGCAGTGGCACGATCTCGGCTCACTGCAACCTCTGCCTCCTGGGTTCAAGCGATTCTCCTGCCTCAGACTCTCAAGTACCTGGGATTACACATGTCCACTACCATGCCCGGCTAATTTTTGTATTTTTCAGGAGAGATGGGGTTTCCCCATGTTGACCAGGTTGGTCTTGAACTCCTGGCCTCATGTGATCCACCTGCCTTGGCCTCCCAAAGTGCTGGGATTCCAGGCGTGGGCCACCGCGCCCAGCCTGTTCATAACATTTTTATCTAGCCTGGGTGACAGAGCGAGACCCTGGATGCTTGGTGGCAGAACCAGTATGGACACCAAAGTCTTTCTTACGCCACTGCCATCCTTGCTGCTCTTACCGTTTTCTTCTTCTGTCTCTCCTCATGTTTGTAATTTGGGGTCCCAGGGTTCTAGTACATCCTTATTTTCAACCTTAGCTCTAGAGTGGAACTTCCTGACTACTGTAAGCCATATTAGGCGCCGTGGTCTCACCTGGAACAGGCAAGAGTTCTGTTCTCTCAAAATGACACTGCTCGTAGGAAGCTCGTCCCAGTTAGTTCAGCGTTAGAAGGAATTGGTGTTGCCACACTCTTCCAGGGCGTGGAGTCTATTTTTGCTATTGATGTTAGAAAATGTGGCTAGGCATGGTGGCTCATGCCTGTAATCTCAGCACTTTGGGAGGCCGAGGTGGGAGGATTACTTGAGGCCAGGAGTTCAAGACCACCTGTCTGGGCAAGGTAGTGAGACCCTGTCTCTACCAAATAAACAACAACAAAAATTATCCAGATATGGTGGTGCACGCCTGTAGTGTCAGCTTCTTAGGAGACTGAGGTGGGAAGATCACTCGAACCCAGGAGTTCAAGCCTTCAGTGAGCTGAGATCGCGCCACTGCACTCCAGCCATTGAGACCCTGTCTTAAAAAAAAAAAAAGTTGGAAAATGCAGCAATACATGAAAAAAGAAAATCACTGTTAACCCTCAACTCCGTTATGTTGTTGATGTTTTGGTACTTTTCCTTCTAGTCATGGGGGATGTGTGTGTGTGTGTGTGTGTGTGTGTGTGTGTGTGTATCTCTGTTAACCGTGTGATGACTGGGCTGTTCTCACCAAAGATACTAAGCTTTATTTTTCACGTGATAAATTATTTGTAAACATACAGTTGATTGTTATTGTTCCCAGTAGTTACGTTCTATAAAGTTGCCATGAAGACTGAACCAGTGCTCTTAAGGGAAGTACATGGTTAGGTTGCTTTGAGCCTCTGGTCACACGTTTTGTTTTTGAGATGGACTCTTGCTCTGTTGCCCGGGCTGGAGTGCAGTGGCAAGATCTCGGCTCACTGCAACCTCTGCTTCCCGGGTTCAAGTGATTCTTGTGCCTCAGCCTCCCGAGTAGCTGGGACTACAGGCCTGCGCCACTACGCCCAGCTAATTTTTGTATTTTTAGTAGAGAAGGGGTTTTGCCATGTTGGCCAGGCTAGTCTCAAACTCCTGACCTCATGTAATCCACCCGCCTCGGCCTCCCAAAGTATTGGGATTACATGTGAGAGCCACTGCACCTGGCCTGGTCACAGCATTTTTATCAGCTGATCAATACATAACCTGGTTTTATGTCTGTTCCTGTTTAAAGACACCTTGTTTAATGTATATAGTTCATTCATTAACATTGCACTCACAACCAGCAGCACTGTAAGCCATGCCTGAATGAAGCATCTTTAACTCACAAATTATCTCTATACGGCACATCACAGCGTTCCTGTGCTTAGGAACTGTCGGCAGTACCACTTCAGCACTGTGCCTGGGGACATTTTAAACAACAAAATCAAGTGAAAAAAAAAAGGCTGGGCACGGTGGATCACACCTGTAATCCCAGCACTTTGGGAGGCTGAGGCAGGTGGATCACCTGAGGTCGGGAGTTTGCGACTAGTCTGACCAACATGGCAAAATCCCATTTCTAGTAAAAATACAAAAATTAGCTGGGTGTGGTGGCGCAGGCCTGTCATCCCAGCTACTTGGGAGGCTGAGGCACGAGAATCGGTTGAACCCAGGAGGTGGAGGTTACAGTGAGCCAAGATTGCACAAAAGAAAGAAAAGTGAAAAAAAAAAAAATGCTGAAAACATGGCAGTAAATAGACAGCAAAGAGGATGCTTGTTTGTGGTGTAAGATCTGAGGTCCCAGCTGTTCGACTTCAGCTGAGAACATGCACATTAGGGACCGAAATTATTGGCCTCTGCACATGTTCATGAATGACTGTGAAAGCACCTCGAGTATTGACTCTGGGGTTACAAATAAACTTTAGTGCGTAGATGAATTTGCAAATACGGAATCTGCAGATAACAAGGCCTGACTAATTTCCGATGACTGCTTCTATCCCTTCTGGTAGAGGTACCGGAGTAAACCGACCTCTGCTAGCTTTTGGAGTGGTGAGGGTGTGTACTTTCAATGGCCGAGCGTAACTTCCTCCTGCCTGCTTTTTCCTAGCGTGGAAGCCAGCTCTCCAGGCCACGGAAGTCCTCTGAGCAGCCTGTTACCTTCTGCCTCAGTGCCAGAGTCCATGACAATTAGTAAGTACTTTTGCAGCCACCTCCACCAGCTCTGGGATGACTCCTGGCCCTTGTCTCATGGCAGTGCCTTTGTGCTTATAGCCCTGTGACTGTGGGTTCAAGTCAGGTATGTACATCCCTGGTTGTAGACTGGAGATGTGGTGTGTGCCTGTGAATTTCCAGAACTGTGGTTAGTGCATGGCACTTGGGCGTATGTGCACGGGCGTGCCTTAGGGGTGGAGCTGCATTGCCGTAGAATTCTGTGGTTCCACGTTTCGGGGTTTGCCTCCCGTAACGCAGTTAGCTACAGAGGACCTATTCTAGTTGGATTTCCTTTGTAACTCTGGAGGACTCATTTTGTAAGTGAAGAAGAATGTGTCTCTCCAAGATGATTAAACTTTGCTAATGATCAGGCTTCAACTGTTTCCAATTTTACTACCTAGAAAAATTTTTAGAGATATAGCAAGGAAGGCTAGGTTTGAATGGCTTCGTGTAACAAAGAATCAACCAACTGTTCTATAAACCGACAGGTGCTCCTGGTACCTCACTCGCGTCTTGAGCCAGCATTTGTCCCATGGCCTCCCCTGGCTGCAGAGGGGGTGCTTGCTCCCAATTAAAAAAAAATTAGCTTTTGTTGCTAAGGAAGGAAGAAGGAGTTTGGGAGGCACCCAGCATTTTCTGATTCAAGGATGAAGCAGGAAGTGAGCAGACACTGTTACATAAACCAACAGTTGGTTTATTTTTTGTATATGAAGCCATTCAGATCTACTTTTCTTGAAGTTCTCATGGTCAAGGAGATGTGATGGAAATTTCTCTCTACCCAGAGGTAGACGGGCTGGGGCTGGCATGTGGCTCCACGGCCATCAGAGACTGAGACTCCTCCTGTCTTGCCTCGTAGGCCAAAATAGCCAGTTTAGCTCCAGCCATTTCATTCTCATTCCAGGCGGCAGGAAAGAGGAGAGGGCAAAAGGGAGACTTCGTCTGTTTCTACATATAGGATTCAGGGGCCTGAGCTTGGAGAGGGAAAATATTACAATGTTTTTCATTTAGCTCTGGGTGAAATGTAGTGTTTTCTTCAATTACGATCATTCTATTTTGATGTAATTGGTTTCCTTTGTGATATGGTATGTGTTATATATTTTAATACATTTTCCTGAAAAGGAGCCCATGGTTATTCCTAGACTACAGAATGGGCTCTTGCTACAAAAACGGTGAAGCCTCCCACCGTCACTGGAATGTGCTCACAGTATACCACTTGTGCCTGGGGCCAGCATTCATCTCATGGCCCCCCATGGCTGCAGAGGGGGCAATTGTTCTCGATAAAAAAGAAATTAGTTTTTGTTGCTAAGGAAGGAAGAAAGAGTCTGGGAGGCACCCAGCGTTCTTTGACTCAAGGGTGAAGCAGGAAGTGAGCAGACACCGCGAGGCTGCTGCGTGGGAATGGCTGGCCGCACTTTTTGTATAATGAGCGTGTGTGGTTTACTGTGGCGCTGCTCAGCCCTGAACTCGGCTGAGCAGGTGTTAATAGATCACTCGGTCTGTGGGACGTGTTAATAGATCACTCGGTCTGTGGGACACGGGGTGGTTGAGTATGTAGCTGGCTGCTTTTCACTGGTCAGTCTTTTGTTTACCACAGTACTGTTACTTACCCTATAGTTTACTTTATTATTCATTTTTATTTATTTATTTTTTTGTAGAGGTGAGGTCTCACCATGTTGTCTAGGCTGGTCTTGAACTCCTGGGCTCAAGCGATCCACCTGCCTCAGCCTCCCAAAGCGGTGGGATGACAGGTGTGAGCCACCGTGCATGGCCTTCTATAGTTT